CACTCGGTATGTCTCAATGGATGTCACCTTTGATGAGCTTTCCCCCTTTTATGGTTCCTCTCCAGAAGGACATTGTCCACAGGGGGAGGATTTGTTAGAAGTGTTTGCTATTCCTCTTCCTGTCCCTGTTGAGTCTCTTGATGTGTCTGCTTCACCGTCAAATGTATCAAGGGTGGATCAGTCGTTCCATTCTCCCTGTCCCAGTACTCTACCTCCTCGTCCTATCCTCAATCCCAAGGTGTATCAAAGGCAAAGATCCAGAAATGTGTAGGTTGTTTCTCCTACAATACATGAGCCTCATACACTTCTAGTCACAGAAGATACAATAGGTACTGTTTCAGCACATTTGGAGTCATCCTTCCCTGACCTTGATATTCCCATTGCTGTTAGGAAAGGAAAACGGAAGTGCACTGCACACTGCATTTCCAAGCACCTTTCTGACAGATTGCTTTCACCTTCATACTTTGCCTATCTCTTTTCTGTTGCTTCTAACCCTATTCCCAGGTTTGTGTCAGAAGCTCTTAAGATTCCATAATGGAGGGATGCTATGAGATCTGAAATCAATGCCCTACACAAGAATGACACATGGGAAGTGGTGGATTCTCCTGAAGGGAAGGATCCAGTCGGTTGCAAGTGGGTCTTTACTATCAAATACCGAGCTGATGGCACCATTRAAAGGTACAARGCCAGGCTGGTTGCAAAAGGCTATACACAGACATATGGGATTGATTATTTGGAGACCTTTGCACCTATTGCCAAGATGACATCTGTGAGGGTTCTTCTTTTTTTAGCTGCTCACTTTGACTGGCCCCTTTATCAATTGGATGTGAAGAATGCATTTCTGAATGGTGAATTACATGAGGAGGTTTATATGTGTCTTCCTCCAGGGATGTATGGAATTGATATGAAAGGGATGGTATGCAGGCTGAAGAAATCTCTTTGTGGTCTAAAACAGTCCCCTAGAGCATGGTTTGAGAGATTTAGAACAACACTTGTTAACTTTGGTTATGTGCAGACACAGTCCGATCATACTSTTTTTGTGAAGAGGAGTGGACCTCTGGCAGTATACCTCATTGT